TCCTAACCACTAGACCATATGGGAATACATAAAGCCCATCTCAAGGAACCATAGACAAACTCTTAATAAAGTCAGTCAGAAGAAGAGAAAGGCATTCAATGCCGTTTTTTGCTCTTCTTTTATTAAGTATACTCTCCAGTTCTGATATAACTGATGCTAGTCGCATCTACACTAACCTAGCCACACAGTGTCTTCTTCCTACTTTCCTGAAAGGATGCTCATTGTTCTGGTAACACTATATCGGCCACAAACGAATTGATTGAACCCTGGCAAGATTTTGTGATTATGTGATCCTGCGAGTCCAGCTGCCTCACAAGGTTAACTCCACATGTCATGGTGATCCTCTCAGATTCATCACCAGTGGCAAAAACATAGCCCCTGCCTGGAGATATGATATGAACCAACTGACTGAATGAAAAGTTTTATAGATGTCTAGGTTTCATATGACCATTGTTTCTACATCATTTCAATGACTACATTACTTAATTAGGACCTACATGCACAAAATTGCAATCTCTTCAGCCTGAGGAGCTTTCAATGAGGACAAAGCTTGAAAGTTGGCTAACAGGAAACTGTCACTCCACTGGTTATCTCTCTCTCTCCCTCTCTCTAGACACACACACACACATACACACAAAGCAGGAGTCATATCTGGTGTCAGTCAGCCCCTCCCTCTCAACGCTGTCTCAACGTGTTCTGTAATAATTAACCAGCTGCTGCAGTGTGCTACATAAGCTCCCCTCCTACCACATGCAATGTACTCTGGACCTATGAACACACACACACAGATACACACACACACACGCACACACACACGTACATACACGTACGAAGTACAAGAACTCAAACATGGAACTTTAACAGATTCTCAGCTTTATTTGTTTGGAGGTTGAAAGACTGGTCAGGTAGGAGTGAATTTATGCTTGATTTGATTTATTTTATGTTTCCTGTGAATGTAAAGAACCAAACTGTGCTACTTTTTGCAAATAGCAGCATTTATTCATACAGAAGTTACCTGAATGCACCCACGCTCTAATTTTTAATTAAAACTTAGAGACATTTCAGTGATAGTTTAGTGTTTTTTGTGTTGTGTGAATAATGAATGTGTGTTTGCTCTTCTTTAATTGTCAGCAATTCCAAAGACTTTAAAGCTAAAGTTAGCATTAAGTGTTAGCATTAATAACTTTTTCATAACTTTAAAATATTAAAAAAATAAATAATAATAAATTACAATTTAATTCTGCCATGTTCTCAATTGTTAAAGGACATAACAGATATATTGCCTAAAAATACATGTAAAACATATGTCTATTGCTTTTTATTCAAATTAAACACAGGGGGCACTATACCAACACATACATATTTAAGTGAAATCTGTGCATGTAAGTTAGAAAGAGCAAGTGTTAGAACAGTACAAAGAGAGAACGGAGTGGAGTAAGGGAGACAGAGAGGCAGAGTGAGGGGGAGTGACATACAGGAAGGTAATACAGG